ACCATGTCTGTGAGAATAGAGTATGAAGAGACTGTCATGATATTCATACTGTAGGCTGCTAAATTAGATGGAAATATCATACGCCATCAAACAGTGCTAGGACCTCAAGGAGACAGCAGGGAAAGACAATATATGCTGCAACTGCGAGAGATCGATGCACCTGTTGTGCACCATACTCAAAGATCTAAGGTCCAACAAATGCTGATCTCCCTAAAGACAACCATTCAGACTGATCAACACCTAGAGGAAGACATGAAGAGTCACTAATCCAACTGCCACCACGGGCTACTGGATACACTCCTGTTCTACGCTCAGACCCACTCATGTGTACGTTTATGCTTGCCCACCCTGTTCTGGATTGAATCAACTTTACCTGAGCTATGGTGCTCGTAATCTCATTGGTCGACCATACTTTTGTCTCGCCTCATGCCCACCTAAGTGACTTTCCATGTCCTCCACACCTTGCACCTGCCTCACTGCATGGTTTGACTCTTACAAAAGTGCCTGCAGGACACCGTTTTCTGGGGGCAATCCACTCAGGTCCCCCCTTCTGTACCTCTCTCAGACAGAAGCTTTCTTTCCCCAATCAAAGTTCTGCTCTTCACCTCCATTTGTTCCTAAAATTTATTCTTCACTTTTACATGACATGAACTCGTCCAGGTACCTTTCACGTCCATCACTTCATTGCCCTATATCTGTGGCAAGACCAGTAACTTAACAAACGTATTCACAATCTCAGTGTACAGTCTCCTTTCTTCTTTTCAATATTTGCAACAACTACTGACCATTTTTGGAGAAATAAAAATAAAAGAACCCTCATATAAAAAGGTCTGAACTCTATGCAAGGAATGGTAAGGAACAAAAAAGGCCGAAAAAGAATCGAATTGCTGTTGGGGCATGGTGACACACACCTATAATCCCAGTAGTTAAGAGGCAAGAGGCTCCTTCTGTGTTGCAAACCCACCTAACATGCATTCTGGAGGCGGAGAGAAGAAGCTTGTGGCAAAGACAATGTCCCCCAGAACTACAAAGCGAGTTCAAAGGCAGGTGTGATGGCAAAGGCTCAAGGCACAATCCCATTCAAGACGCTTCATCTGTTGTTTGAAAAAATCCACACATGGATACATAGAAGATCCTTTGTCTGACTAGGGATTTCACTGCATGGCACAGCACCCACCTGGTAAGTATGTGTTAGGTTCAGAGTTAAAGTCCCACTACCAAAAAAAAAAATAATTTTGGGGGAGCAATGATACATGCCTTGTCAACAAGTCAAGCCTGCACCTCATCAAGGGACCCTGTCTAGAAAAAACGAAACACCAACCAGGCATGGAGGCACATACCTGTAACCCTAGCACTTGGGATTCCATTTGAGGGAGAAAGATCTTTGTGAATTTAGACCAGCCTAGGCTATGAAGAGATCTAAAGCCCAGCCTGAAGCATGCGGTGACACTCTGTTAACAAATCAATATATTAATAAAAATAACATAATACTATAAAAGAGTCGACATTTCACCTTGAAATGTTGGAGAGGCTATGCGAGAAAGGAACACTTCCATTGCTATTAGAATGTAGACTGTTGCAACCATGATGGAAATAAGTGTGTCTACTCTTTAAAAGAGTAGGACTGAAAATCCCATTCTAACCAGGAGTTTTCCCAGAGGAATTTAGAACATCATATCATAGTGATATTTGTCCACCTACGTTCAAAAGAGTACAATTTGTGATAGCCAAATCTTGGAAACATCCAAGATGCCCATCACTGGAGGAATGGATGAAAAAGATGTGGTACTTTTACAAAATTTCATATTACTCAGGTATAAAAAGTTTTTTAACTCAAGGAATTTATAGATAAGTGGATTCTACTTGAAGATATGATCATAAGTGAAATAATCCAGATCCACATGTGCAAATATCATATAGTCTCCCTAGTACAAACTCAAAAGATGCAATAAAAAGAGAAAGGTATAACACAAAAGGAAAGTGAGAACTTGAGGAGCACACAGTGAAGAAAGGACACAGAGAAAAGCTAGAAAGCATGAAAGGCCCAAAATCATACATTTATACACACAAGATGGCTAATGCAATGATCCTGAGAACCTTCATCAGATTTTTGAAACTAGCAGTTACGTGGTAGGAATCTCACTGTGACTAGCTATATATGTTGATACCTATGAACTAATGAACGGCACTGCACTGCAACTGGTTAATACTAGGTTCATTCTTTGAATGCCTGCCATTCTGTTCTCCTAAATACATACTGCTTTTCATGTCACACCAATTAATGCTATACTGTCTCTCAAGTAAATGTTTGTTTAAGTACAAGGGTAACAAATGAAAACAATATAAAAGAAATAAAAATGTCAAAGGACTGTTGCTACAATGCTGTACATGCTTAGATTTTAAAATTTCCGTGTCAAAATATGAAATGGTTTGTTCCAATTTTTAAAAATCTTTGTTTATTGATTTTCTCTTTTTTTTCTTCACATTTTGCAGGTGTTTAAAGTTTAACATATCGATACTTGAAGGAAAATACCTGTTCCATGCTATGTGTGAGATGTTTGATACTCAGAGAGATAGTGAGGTTAACCTGAACTGCTTATGTTATATGGTAGTAGTATCATTAAGCTTCTCTTCTAAAGGGATAAAAACTTAGGTTCAAAGACCAAAAATGAGAGTAAAAGAAGGGCTACAAGACAGTCAACATTTTGGCCCTAGCCTTTCAAAGTCATTGAGGACTCAGGACATAAATGAACCTGTACTGTAACATGCTGTAACTAACCAATTTCCAAATTTTCTGATCAAGGAGATTATGGGGCCACAGAGGAAAGTGATAGATGATGTAGACTGACCCTAAGGAGAGTCACCTGGAGAGCAAACAATCTCTCAGGCTTTCACAGAGAGAAAGTTGGTCAAGCAATGACCATGACTTAGCTGACACTGACAAAAGATCTACAAAGTGTGGTACAGGGTTTCAGGCTAAATCCTGAGGAGATTTGACTGACCTTGTCAGATACAAAAGTTACATTTCTTCTTACATAGGTCCTGCTTAATCTTGGTCTTAACCATCCAATAGAAAAGTATAATCATGAGGTATCAAAATTAAAG